CCGCCGCCGCTGCCGGCACAACCCTGCCTCCTCTCTCCATGTTCCAGCTGGGCATCGCAGCGGCAGCAGCTGGAGCAGCCACGTCTTACGTACTCACCCCCATCGAACTGATCAAGTGTCGAATGCAGGTCCAGATGATTGCAAAGGAGCAAGCCGCGCTGACCACGAGCAGCGCATCAGGTGGCCCTGCTTCTGCTTCTGCTGCTATTCGATCTTTGCCGGGACCCGTGACGCTGGCACGCCAAGTCATTGCAAGCGAAGGCATCACTGGCTTGTGGCTGGGTCAGACGGGCACTCTGCTCAGGGAGACTGGCGGTGGCATCGCCTGGTTTTTGGCCTTCGAAGCGACCTGCAGGGAATTCTTGGCGCGGCGAAGCAGGACGAACCGACCGGATCAAAAGTCAGACTTGTCTTCCATCGAGCTCGTCACTGCAGGGGCGGCAGCTGGCATCGGCTACAATGTAATTCTGTTTCCTGCAGATTGCATCAAGAGCACCATACAGACGGAAAAGGAGCTCAAACCTAACCAGCCGATCGCAGGCTTCTTGCAGACTGGAACCAGGATATACAGACAGCGAGGCATCAGGGGTTTGTACGCTGGTTGTGGAATCACGTGCCTGAGAAGCGCGCCCAGCAGCGGTGAGTCACACGGCTTTGGCTCGATGCAGCTAAAAGGCGCAGCGTTGAGCGCAAGGCAACGCCGGGGACCATCAAGCTGATGCCAAGTGTTCCGATGCTTTGACGCGACGATCTCCGTGGTGTGCTCAGCTCTCATCTTGTGAGTCTTGGAGCGCAACGCAACTTTGACGGCGGCCAGAGTTCATGTCGATGCAATGTAGCGCGCTGACTGCTGTCCTCGCTTGGCTTTCACTCACAGCTTACTGTACAGCAAACTAGAACAACTGGCTGACCGTCACGGCATATAGAGTAGAGTGCGAAATAATATCGAATGAATGATATTCGAAGACAATCGGATGGCGAGGTTTCAGCGGCGGCCTGAGAGTGACGTTGCGCTACAATTGACAGTCATTGTCCTGGAGCAGTGACAGGAGAGGCTCTTGGATGCGTGACAGTGACATGCGAATGGTATACGCTTGACTCCCTACTACTACTACGTCTTGGGCGATCGTGAATCGAAACGCGAACAAGGACCTTTGTGGCGTGTCACCAGTAGCAGACCATGGTCTGCCAGTCACCTCGTAATGTTAATTTGAACTTTGATTTCCATGCATACAAGTAGTATGGATGGATGAGTGTGCACGTGACACGCCTCCACATCGCGCCCGAGATCGTCGCGACCATCGCGCGCGGACGGGCAGCTTTGGTCCACGCGTCACGAACTCCTCAAAGACTCGAGACTGACTAACGACTGTGCACGCACATAGGTCACCTCCCGAAGTCCCACCCGCCATACCACCACATCGAAGAGAGATTTTCAAAATCGGGTTGAGCAGTATCATCAGTAGCAGCGCTTTGTCAAGTCAGCTATATCCCACCAAACATGTCCCGCAGCATCGTTCAGGCCAGTCGTGCTGTCCGCTTTGGCGGTGCGCTTCGACCCACCCCCGTCGTCCTCAAGCAGTCCAATCCCGTGCCCAGCGTGGACATTCCTGGACCCACATTCAGCGACCGTACCAGTCCAGCCGCACCTCCTGGTCAAGGACCTACCCATCCTGGCTACACGCACGAGAGCACTCCCATCACCAGCGCTCATCCTCGAGACATTCCAGGGGTGGATGGAGCAGCCCCTGCTTCGTGAGTCGAGCGTGACATAAGATGCGCCTTGCAGACTTCGACGTTGCTGAGTCATCACGCGCTCACGCATCGCCACACGCGCCTTTTCTTCGCGGTCAGTCGAGTGCCCGGAGCGAGCACTGTTGCTGGCCAACCTCACGTCGAGGTGCACAACTTGGCCGAAGGTGCAAAGATGTGAGTGACTCTTGCAATACTCGTCAAGATAGGCCTGCCTCGAGGGACAGCTGCGATGCACATCCTTGTGATTGGCGGAGGTGCAGTGCACTGCTTTGGGCATCCGCTCGGAATCCTTTTGCGTTGGCACCTTCCAAGCGACTTTCGAAGCTCTGCTGATCGTCGTACTTGCTCTGGTTTTTACATCTTCAAGCGGAGGATCGGACGCCATTCGACCTGAAGAGCGCAATGTCAAAAGCTGGGGTCCCAACCAACGCACACCAGAGTTCAATGAATTAGGTGCGTGCAATCTCTAGTGCGGCTGCTTCTGAGCTGCGAGCGCTGACAGTCCAGAGTGCCTGTCTGCTCCTCAGAGGGTAAAAGACGCCCTGTCCTCGATGGAGGATCCAACGAAGGCGGTCTTGGACCTGATGGCAAGAGCAGAACGTGAGCATCATCTTCACCCTCCCGTCCGTTGCAGCGCTACCTGAAGACCCTTTGAGACCCGAACACCGTCGATGCATCTGTACGGACTAGAACTCGCAAATGCAATGTGATCATCGCTTGTCTTGTTTGTCCACCTGTCTGACTGCCACTGTTTCAATCCGCTGCGGGCAGGTTCTCGACGATTGCATGCCTTCGACAAGTCAAGCCGGGGCCAACAAGTGCAAGTGAGAATCGTGCTGCGTCAACTGCGAGAGGATCTGCGGTGGCACCGCAAACTTCGACACCTCCCAGACCTGCAAGGCGAAGTCGCTTTCCTTCCAGCAAGGAGGGCGCTGCCTCTTTGCCCAGGTTGGAGCACTTTCTAATGCAGAATCGTTTTGCAGCCTTGTAT